TTAAAGTTATAACATATCTAACACATTTCCATACATTTCTTTACCTAAATAAGTGATTACAACAGATAAACATACCTTTAACGAATAGTACGCATCCTTTTTTATGTACAATACATATTTTCACAACAATTAATGCTTTATTGTATTTAATATTTTAATAATTTCACAACACGAACAAAATGATCTTACATTTTGACAAAAGCAAAACTGTCACTTTGTTTTATATTGCCGCTTAAATGACAACAGATTATATTTGATTATTTTTGCTTTTTCTGTTGGTAAAATATTACTATTAATAAATAAATAAATAAAAAGAAAAATATTATTTTCACTTCATAAATACATTTATGACTTTTTATCTGATTTATGTAAAATATATTATTTTATTTTTTATTTTGCGACATCGTGGTTAGTTTAAGGCATAGGTTATTTATTTATTATTCGTCATATCTTGGTTAGGTTAGGTTAGAACAGTTAAGATTATTTATTTATTATTCGTCATATCTTGGTTAGGTTAGGTTAGAACATTTAAGATTATTTATTTATTATTCGTCATATCTTGGTTAGGTTAGGTTAGAACAGTTGCCACAATGCACGAGCCGAGCGAGCGAAGCGAGCGTGCCGCGGTAGCGGCCGGCGAGTGCCAAAAATGACTAGAAAACTAGAAAATTCGAATTTCACGCAAAGTACAAATAAAGACAATCATCTGGAGATCATTTTGACAATTCAAAGTGACGTTTTGACTCCAAGTGTCTAAATGGTAGTAATGTCAAAATAATGTATGGAAATGTTGTAACTTTAAGTCTCAATAACTTTTTACTCGTACGTTTCCGGAAAAATTTTTATTTAACATTTCGACTCCCTATCACGTCCCCTATCCAGAAATACCACCCACTCCGCCAGGGGCCACGTCCCCTATTCTAATTTGCAGCCTTAAACACTTACTATAAAATTTATTCGCATGAATGGAGTTCCAGAAATTGTCTCGAGTTTGTATATTATGAAAGTTAAAAGAGTGGCTTTCGGTGGTTAAAAATTAATTATTGAAAGTTAGAATAAAATACGTTTATCTATAACGCGCTTTTAGTAGGTCCTGTAATTACATAATATGTAAACAAATCTTGGAAAACTTATAACTGTTCTAAGTCTAGTCTATTTGAAACTTGGCAAACTTATAAGTAATAGAAACTTTTCAAATTACTAAGTAATTTCGATGACAATATAATCATTTTGTACTACGGTGGAGATGTGTATTGTCTGTTCTTTCAACGATTACTAATAAAATCTTCGAGTTTTAATTCATTTGCTTTTTTTCGACAAGTCATTATTGGACTTAAGTGTGTTTTTTTAGTTTTTTAAAATATCTTTTGTTAGAATTTTAAAGTTGCAATCGTGTGAATAACTGCGTTAAGCCCACATGAGATATTAAATAGGATGTAGAACACGCAACTGTTACTATTGCAATTTTGTTTTACGAAAGAGAAGGTTTTAATCAAAATGGAATATACGTTTCGCTTTTTACTGAAATGAAAAAAAAATGGATACCAATTTCAGTGTAAGGTTGATTTTATTTAGGAATGTTGAAATGAATTTGAATCTATGAAGTGAAATATTCAACTTTTGAGAGTTCCATACGCATATTATCTTTTAATTAAGAACATTCAAACATAAAATAAACATGTTTGTGAATGTGAAATTTTATTATTATTATTTAAAAGTAGGTTTAGGGTCTGTCTGTGTAATTTTATTATTATTATTTAAAAGCAGGTTTAAGATCAATGATGTCACTTATGGAAAAGAAAATACTAAGCTTAAAAATCAGGCACGGCACATTCGAAACCTGATAACGACAATGAGATGATATTTCACGGATATCGGTAATCACGCACAAGCTGTATTCGAACTTCCATTTTTCAAGCAGACCTTCCCTGTTCATAATACAGATTAATTATTTAAAAGATTATTAGAGAGAGATATGTGATCCAACATGAATCATCTGAAATATTGTTACAGAAAATTTAGGTATACTAGCGACTCACCTTCGCTCCGCTCGGGTTCGTCCCTAGGGTGGTCCACCCTATCACGTAGGGGTATGGAAAATAGATAGTAGCCGCTTCTCAGACCTACTAAATACGCATATAAAATTTGGTAAAAATCGGTAAAGCTGTTTCGGAGGAGTACGGTAACTAACATTGTGACATGGAAATTTTATATATTAGACTAGCGACTCTGACTCGCTTTGCTCGGGTTCGTCCCTAGCTTGATTCCCTATACAAATTTGCATCCCCATTTTCACTCCCTTAAGGGATGATTTCCGGGATAAAAGTATTCTATGTCATTTCCAGGGTTCCAAACTATCTTCTTACCAAATTTCATCTAAATCGGTTCAGTGGATTCAGAGATTCCCACCTACAACGTCACAAACTTTACCTCTTTATAATATTAGTATAGATAAATACTGTGGCATAAACTTTAATATTTATTATAAACTAAACAAAAACAATTCTCTCCTACAAGAAACGTACATTTTTTCTGGTATAAAAAATAACCTATGTATATTCCAGACCATAATCTATCTCTGGCAAATTTTATTCAGATCCATTCTGCTGTTCTGACGTGAAAGAGTAACAAACATCTATCCATTCGTCCATCAATCCGTCCATCCATCCATCCACCCTCACAAACTTTCACATTTATAATATTAGTATGGATTATTATAAACATGTATAAAGATAGCTTAGATGGCGGGCTTTTGCTTTTTATTAACTAAAACATTCTCTTTTAGAGCGACATACAAATTCTTAAAATCGATGTTTGTGACAAATATCATCATAAGTAATTTCTGGAGTTGACGTCAATCTAATTCTGAAAGGAAAATTGTAATAAAAACTTAAAAAAAGGCACTAAAATGTAAAAAATAACTAAACGGAAGCTTTCATGTAGAATAGATACCTAATCAGATGTTTTCGAAGTTGGTGCCAGCCGATGCAAAGCAAATCTAATATATTTCGATACGTAAAATACATATTTACCTATTAGATATTCATATCTGAAAATATTGTAGGCTGACACCGAATTTAGTTAGACCATTGAAAAGAAAAAAAATGCAGTAAAAGTTCAAATCAACAAAAAGGGTAAAATCGAAATTTTCTAGTACAATTGACATTGCTAAGTCAATCAGTAGTTTTGTGAAGTTGAGCCTCGCTGATGTCAGCGTGCTCGTCCAGGGAATTACTGGCCTCACTGAATATCGGAGTAAAATTGGAATATCCGAAGTATGGCATATATCGGTGATTGACAGCATCGCTGGTCCAAACATTTCAGCATGTACGCCGCCTTATAGTTATACGTATCCCGTTTTTCTACTTGATCCCGATAGGTATCGAGAAGTAAAATAAGGTAAGTGAATGACGAATCTGATATTGCAAACGCAGACAGACTACGCATACTTACCGACCTAATCAGCATTTCGTAAAACCGCCATAACATTTAAGAAACCAACCTGTCAATATAAACCACATTAAAATCGATCCATCTGAAAGATGACACCAAAGTAAAATACATACATATAAAATACATACATACAATACATACAAACAAACGGTAATCGAATTAACTAAAAACGCAAAAATACATCGTTTCTATTATTTTTTTTACTAATCAAGTGGGCTTAGAATTAACGACAACCTTGAAATATTACAATGGATTTGATATCGTTGTGTAACCTAAGGTTTTAAAAAATATTTATTAATATTCTTAAAAAAAATCCTTTGAGTGAAACTTGATATCTTCAATATTTAAAGTAGGTACTTTTCCTCCATGTCCCGTTCCATCCTGTATACATAGTAGTACAAAGAATTCGAAGTTATGACAACTTTTCGTCAGGAATTAAAAAGTGAATACAATTTATACTTTTCATGTACTTACTTTATATTTTATAATATTTCCAACACGAACTTTAGGTCATTATAAAGTTATCTCGGATATGTTATTCAGTATCAGTTACTTCACACTTTGGCAGCTGCCAGATTGACATATCTAAAGATGTAGCTAAAATAATCGGTAGGGAATCATCCGATTTTAATGAGAAATCGATGTTGATTATTTATTTATTATATAATTATTAAAAAATCTAAAAATTATAAATAAATTATAAAAACAGGAACCCAATGAAATAATTTCAATTTCATTTGAATATCGTTTAATTTGTTATGACATAAAACTCTGAAAGGGAATAAAGTTTAATACTAAATAAATTAATACTAAATAAATTATTATTTTGATACTAGCGGCTCACCCTCGCTTCGCTCGGGTTCGTCGCTAGGTACGTTTTAAATAGATGTAAATAGTTATTAGCCAGCGTTAACCATATAAATTTTGTTTTTTTTGTTAATAATATTGACAAATATAGACATTATTATTTATACGATTCTAAGGTCACTCAATTGCCATCAATGTTTTGCCTTCCCGGAACCTCTCCACTAACACTTAAACTTTATGTTATGGCATTAAAGTTCAAATTGACTTTTAAGTATTATTACGAATCTTTTGTATGGGAGTATATAAAAGTGTTGTTTTTAGACTTTTTCAGGCAATTTTTTAAATTTTTTTCTCGATAACAACCATCCTCGTACTTCAAGGAATATTCTAAAAAAAGAATTAGCGAAATCGGTTCAGCTGCTCTCGAGACTTGCGCTTACCAACACATTCAGCGATTCATTTTTATATTATAGATAAATTTTAGTATCATTAGGTTCATTAAGTAAAGATTAAAATTGGATTCGAAAATATTGCTTTCGTTGAAATAAATGACAAATAAGAATGAAAATGAAATTTTAAATAGTTCTTACTGAATTCCCGCCATTAAAGCTATTCGATTATTAACATTATTCCAATATTTTGATTGTGTATTCGAATACTCAGGAAACTGAAATTGTTGCGACACTACTGTAAAGTACTCGTATTAATATGTAAAGAGCCTAATGACGTAACATTGCAATATGGTAGGCTTAATTTATAATTGTAAGATATTATATTTGTTTGTTATTTCAAAATTACCGCTAAATCTCATTCGCGTCTTCCTGACAAAACATGACACTGGCATAATGAATTGCGTCTATCAACGCAGCTCTAAGCCATAAAGAGTAAAAAAAGATATTATATTTTTTATTCCAAAGTTTTACAAATCGGGTATCCGAAGAATTTCTTGATTATTCAGGAAACTGAAATTGTCGCGACACTACCGTAAATACCATCGTAGTACCGTACTTATTTTACAATTTTAAGATATTGTTCTTGTTTTTAATTAGTTTTAGGAGTTTCAAGTTTAGATTATTGTACACGAATATTAGACGTAATGATAATTGTATAAATAACTTAATATTTTTTGAATATTTTATGATTCATTATTTAAAATCATGTGTAGATGTTTGAACAAAGAGTCAAAATGTATTTCTTAGATTTGATAGACTATAGTAACTGAATGATTTCGTAATTTTTGCGTTATTATCACAAACCAGTGACTTATTATCTCTAAGTGCTTTTTACCAGACTGCATTGAAGAAGGAATGTGTTTGTCCTATACGTAATATCTATGTATGTATGTCTGTCCCATGTTCATCCGTAATTATTTAACGGCTTAAGCGATTTTTATAATTCAAACGTTGTTAGATCATGTGTGTCTTTCATTTTTTTTTTTGATATTCGTTACTAAAAAACCAGAACGTTTTTGCCTTTGGTTAGGAAACCCTGATAATAAATATGTATATTTTTTAAGTGTCTCTGTGGTATATTGGTTAGGGTGCACGGCTGTACATGCCGATGGTCTTGGGCTTCAGTCCCGTATCGGTGAGAGGGTAGTTGAGTTTATTAAGATAGTGTCAGTAACAGTCTGGAGTTGGGAAGTTAGCGGTGTTTCACCCCCGCGGAGAGCACGTGAACCAATTGTGTCAAAAGGAATAGAGTGTGCACTGGTGTGATGTGAACACTTGTGCATTAGGTATAATATCTCTTGCGCAGTTGGCTATTTTTAGTGAGATTGGCCGCCGTGGCCAATATCGGCCAGAAGGACATCAGATTATATTTTTTTTTATTAAAGCCTGTTTACTTTTGTTCCAGATCAGCTGGAAGTACACAAATGCGTGGTTAGTTGGCAACCTCCTATGCAAAGTTCTTCTTGTTATGCGAGCTTTTGGACTCTATCTGTCGTCGAATGTTTTAGTCTGCATATCCATAGATAGGTGAGTTTTATTTTTTCAATGCGTCAATCAAATTTTATATATTTTCGTTTAACTAAGGCAATCATATAGCATTTTTGTACAAAACCGTATTGAAAATAATATATTATATCGTACCAATAAAATATTAGAACTCCATGACGTTTGCAGCGGATATAAAATCAGTGCAAATTAAAAAATTAAAACTTTTAACGATCGGTGTGCTTTGCTTTGTATCGGCTGGCACCGACTTCGAAAGTATTTGATTTGGTATGTATAGTAAATGAAAACTACCAATCAGTTATTTTTTACTTTTTAGTGCTTTCGTTTGAAGTCGGTTTTCATTTTATTGTCAAAAAGTTTTTATTTTTCCCTTTTTAGTGTAGACAGTAGTAGCAAAGTAAGAATTCTAACGTGTTAGGCTTTTCAAATCCAACAAAATAAGCTAAAACTAAAAGTATTTACTATTAGCCGTTGAAGAGTTCCACCTTCTGGCCTTACCATCAAATCAGGTCAACAATACCGAACCATTGTACTATCAACGGAATTAGAAACACTTGCAAAGTTTTAAGTCAATATGACAATTAGAAGTAGGTTAAATTCATTAGTAGCTATTTTTCCACCCTTAGAGGTGGTTTTTTTTTGAAATTTAAATGGGACCAATCTGGAAGTATACACTTTAAAAAAAAAATTGCCCAAATCGGTTAATAAATGACGGAATTCTGAGGTAACAAACTTAAAAAAAAAATTAAAAAAATACAGCCGAATTTAAACCTCCTTTTTGAGGAAGTCAGTTAAAAATTTTGTGTGAATTTGTTGCTTATTAATTACAATAAAATTGATTTTGTAACTTGAGCAGTGTATATAAATTAAGCGTTAAAGTTTTAAGTCTATTAAGCCGATGACCGCTGGTCATCTATGCAGATCAGATACTGGTGGTGATCTATGCAGATCTCATCTTATTGTAAAAGGGAACAAGCCATAGACTATCACGCTGGGCAAGTGCAGGGCGGGCTTTACAATTCACATGTCTTTCGATTTACTAGGTTCGATCAGACGTGCAGGTTTCCTCACGATGTTTTCCTTTACAAGTAAAACAAATGGATTACGTTCGAAATAATTGGCATATGAAAATATCATCATATAGATGCGACACCGGGATTTGAAGCTGCTTCACTCGGCTTACTAAGCAAGCGCGTTACAACTGGGCTACCATCATCAATCTTGTAGTCTCATTAAAAATAAAGCTAGGTTTCATTTTATTTACATTATAGGTATAGACGGAGCTCCTAGTTCTAGATCCTTTCATACAAAACCGCAGCCTTGCTTAGTGGTGAATATGACGAACAGTTAATTAATAGATACTATATATAATTATTACATAACGTGTTTTAAAGTTTAAATTCGACGTTACTAATGTTTTCCAATTAAGGTTTCTATGATATTCATCCCAAATTTTTTTAATAATTGATGTTCGTGTTGCTCGTATCTAATTAGATTTTAATTAATATTGTTGCTAGTATATTATAATTATAATTTATAACACTATATAACATTATTGAAAGATTATATATGTTCTGTATCAGTTATATAAGTGGTCGCGAGTTCTATTCCTGTTTGAAATACAGATCTCAATCTCACAAATCGAAGGTATTCAATATGTTTCTTCAAACAGACTTAGACAAACTTCATATCTTAGAATATTAAATAAGCAACTTTTATATACAATATAAGTTTGTTTCGTGTATTTCGGAAACGGCTCTAACGATTTGTATCAAATTTTTTATTTAGATAAGATGAGCGTTTCATGTTTATATCTATATAGGTATCGTTTCTGAAAAAACGCAAATTTTATATGTTTACCTAAAAAATACCGAACGAAGCTCGGTTTCCCAGGTACTTGTAATATTTAAAAAGCGATATTTTTTCGCTATATCTTTAAATATATCGCTAAATTGTTATAAATATTTTAACTTCATCAAATTTGGTTTAGCTTTTTTCCCAAAATAATAAACAGATATGTAGAAAACATTTAAGTACATATATAATGACTTATGCCTTATTTTATATACAACTTAAAAATTGTTTTTCTTATTTTAAAGCAAATAGTATTAAGTAGTCTTCATCCAATGGCCGAAATTCGACCATAATCACTATTGAAATCTTGAGTAAAACGTACATGAATAGAATTTACCTATCTATATAAATAAAACTGCTTCCAATATTTTTTTATTGATAACACTAAAACTTGTAAATAGCTAATAAAAAAATCTATTGACAAACATAGGAGAAAATTTCAGAGCCGTTTTGCCTTTGCCAGCCTCAAAATATGAGCTTCAAATAACTTCTGTATCACTAAAAAATCGATGGCGTTGACAAAAAATATATGGGGGTGACTGATAGATATTGAGATTCTCGGCTTTTCATCAATCAGTTATAATACACACTGTATAATATTTATTGGACTAAATAAGTATTAGCTAGATTTTATATGTAAAAAAATAGTTTATAATTTTTTTAGTAAGGATAGATTTAAAAATTTATTAGGTTAGTTATGAATAATTAATGTTTTGTAATACAGATTTTTTGCTGTGCTGTATCCATTGAAGCTATCGGTGGCGAGGAAGAGAAGCAAGCAGATGCTGTATGGAGCTTGGGCGGTCGCTTTGGGCTGTAGCTTGCCACAGGTCAGTGTGTAACCTAAATGCTGAATTGTAATAAAAAACTTAGTAATAAAGATGAACACTTTGTTAATTTGAGTATAATTCAAATATATTCCTAAATATTTCATACAACCATTCGTTTAATTATCGTTTAATCTTGCAATTTAAAATAAGTTCAGGACCTTTACGGTAAAAAATCTTATTCCTTAAATTATTGGTCTTCATCTATACTAATATTATAAAGAGGTAAAGTTTGTGAGTTTGTGACGTTGTAGGGGGTAATCTCTATCTACTGAACCGATTTAGATGAAATTTCGTAAGAAGATAGTTTGAAATCCTGGGCAGGACATAGGAGACTTTTTATCTCGGAAATCATCCCTTAAGGAGGTGAAAATGGGTGTGACATTTTGTATGGGGAAGCAAGCTATTGCTTGAAGCTATTTATTTATATAGTAATATATACCTTTACAATATATATGTAAAGTTAGTTTTTGCACAGTTCAAGGGAGCTACAAGGTACCTACATTTTTTACTTACCATAGCAATCATAACCGCAGAATACGTTTGATAATTATTTAATTATGAAACTTTATGAATTATGAAGAATTATGAAGAAGAATATTTAAATAAAATTGAGCGACTTCAAAATCTTTGTATACGGTTTATTTTCGGCCTTCGGAAATATGACCACGTTTCAGAATTTCGTAAAAAAACTCAAGTGGCTTCCTATCCGTTTCCGCAGGAATACTCACATTCTCCATCTTCTTTACTGTGTGCTATTTCACCCTTCAACTCCTTTTTATTTAAAAGAGCGTTTTGATTTTTTAAGTAACTGTCATAGCCGTTCTCTTTGCTCGGAGCACAACCTAGTTCTCAAAATTCCTCCACATTCTTCATGTTTCTATTCTAACTCTTTTACTGTAAAAGCTGCCCGGCTCTGGAACACACTTCCTTTAAAAGTTAAAAGTGCCAAAAGCCTTGATAAATTTAAGCTGTTATTAAAAGAATATTACCTGTCCCTTTAGTGCTTTTTTATATTTAATTGTATCTATAACTATGTATATTTGTAGGTACGTATGTATATAAATTAGTATGTATGTGTATTGTACGTTTATATATTTGTATTGTGTGTTTAAGTATGTATGTATATATGTATGTATGTACGTTTGTATGTATATATGTATTATGTTTATCTATTTATATTGTATGTATAATTATATCGTATAGCAAGTACACCGCCTACCATTTCTCTCACACTCTCCTTTACCTGGTAGTTGGTTGCCTGGAAGAGATCGCTTTAAGCGATAAGGCCGCCTACTGTGCATCTTTGTTAATTTTTAATTACTGTCTGTATGTATTTATTTTCTCTTTGGTGTACAATAAAGAGTATTATTATTATTAAACTAATGCTAGTGAAGAACAAACATAGTTTCTATAATCATATTATCTAGTACCTATGCCGAATGCTCTGCCCTGCCCCTATCCTCTTGACTAACTTTTTGGCGCTTTACCTCACTGATGATGATAATAGCAAAGTGCCAGGAGATATAATGCACAAGTGCAATCGGTTCATAAATAAAAAGTTTTATTTTTATATAAATAAATACGTTGGGACATTAACACACAGCACCATCTAGTTCCATAGTAAGCTACGAGGCTTGTGTTATGGATACCAGTTAATTGATATATTACACATATATAACTTTAAACACATACATATTATAAATATAATCACCCATGACTGGAGAACAAACATTCGTGCTCATCACACAAATGAATGTCTCCAGCGGGACTCGAACCAGCGACCGCTGGCACAGCAAGTAGGGTCACTACAAACTGAGCCACACGCGTCGTCGAATAAAAAAGTTATATCAATTTAAAGCATCACTTAGAAACGAACATTTGATTCGACAAAAATTGACTACCACATTCAATATCGAAACACAACTCTCCAATGATCCGCCACGATCAACCATTCCACATACTTCAACGAATGTCATGATGGCACCTCGGCTCCTTAATTTGATTTTTATTTGACGTAATATATAACACTAGCAGAACTCACGGCATTGCTCGCGCTAAAACTACAAAAAAAATCTCTAAAAAGGTAGTTTCATACAAAGTTTCATTTCCTATTTTACCCCCTTATTATTATTAGGTATATAATGCGCTGAACAATTAACATCTTTCCTCAACTCTATATATTTTAGTAGGTATAAGTGATGAGATAAAGGATTTTTTTCTAAGAATTCTTATGTTTATCTGTTTGTCTGTCACAATGTAATATCTAGAGATGTTGTGTTTTATACTATTACGTAAACATGTTTAAGGAGGCAGGAGGAGCAGGAGGGATTTATGATTATATATATTTTTTATATTCATGCTTATTTGTTGTTATGTAAATATTCATAAAATTAGCTAATTTAATGGGAAATTCTATTAAAAACAAATTACAATTTAGTTTACTGTGTTCCTATTTAATAATAAGCCCATTATAAAGACCGCCTCGAGCTTCAGAAACAGTAAGTTGTACACGGCTTCTTACGAAAGATAGTCAGTTTTGAGGCTATCTTATACTAAGTTTTTTAAAAATAATGAGGTTTTAATAAGGTCTAGTATTATGAATGCGAAAGTTGGTTTGTGTGTGTATATTTGTTACTCCTTTACGCTGGAACGGTTCGACTGATTTTGATAAATGGACGTACGAGTAGTTATGCAAAATGGATCCAGCTCCCGAAAACCATTTTTTGAGTTACTGTCATAAATACCACCTAAATATCAACTTATATACAGAAAGTACATATAATACCCAATATTTAAGAGGAATTTCAAAACAAACTACAGTTTTTATTTATACATACCAATTTTACTAAAACTCTCTTTTTCTCAAAAGTAACTTTTTTGTCGTTGGATCTATTTTGCATAATTAAGTCCAAATGTGAAGATCCTGGTGCTACAGATAGACTATGATCTGGAATAAAACATATATAGGTTACTACATTTGCCGGTGCAAATCAAAGCAACCCTTAATTCAGAAATTGATGTATATTTTAAACCCTCCACGACCGCGGACACGCCGACGTGTCAGTTAACAATAGATTTCTTCGAATTTTAATTAATTTCTTAGAAATTTACCTGGAGGTGTTAAACTACATAAAGTTAATACTTTGTCACATTTACCTTTTAGATATTCACTAGTGTTTCACCCTCGTTTCGCGTTCGTACCTAGCGACGAAGCCGACTTCGTCGCTAGGTACGTTTTAAATAGATATAAATAGTTATTAGCCAGCGTTAGCCATATACTTTTTTTTCGTGATTTTTTCTAACGTTTTAATAGTTATACCTACTGCTATTCGGAGAGGAGACAAATCCAACAAATCAAAAACCATGAAAATCGGTCCAGCAGTCCTCGAGTTTTAAGTGTTGTAACAAACCCGACTTTGTTTTATATAATACTAGCGGCTCACCCTCGCTTCGTTCGGGTTCGCTTCTAGTAAAAACAAATCTATCCCTCGGGAACCACATTTTGTTGGGATAAAAAGTAGCCTATGTGTTGTGCCAGACTATAATCTATCTGTGTGCCAAATTTCATCCAGATCCGTTCAGCCGTTCTGACGTGAAAGAGTAACATACTCACAAACTTTTACATGTATAATATTAGTATAGAAGTATTTATATAGATATCTTATAGCATTATCGGCTGGCACCGACTTCGAAAATATCTGAATAGGTAGGTATCTTTAGTGAATGAAAACACCCATTTAATTATTTTTTACTTTTTATTATTTTGAAGTTGGTTGTTATTTTTTCTTTAAGTTTTTATTAAACAAAACTAAAGTTTTGTTTTAATTTTGTCATCGGAAAAGCAATGAACGAAAAAGCTTTTGAAAAAAGCTCAATTCAAATATTAATTTTGCACTTCGTTTTGAGGAAACTTTTGAGTCGCAAGTTATTGTGTATCTTGAGTTTTTGTATATCAATAATTAAAATTAATTAAGATTCGTTTTGTAATAAGTACGAGTACTAATTTAAAGCTATTAAAATATAGCAGATAATATAATATTCGTGTATTATATTTTGTATATTATATTGTTGATGTGAATATTGTAATTTAATTACCGCGTTTGAGTAATCCAATACATGTGTAATAAATAATTACATTAATGCTATGTTATTTTATAATAAAGAAGTTATTAATATTTATTGCTTTTATAAATCCATACTAATATTATAAATACGATGATGATGATGTTTGTGACGATTAGTGGATGTTTTTATTCTTTCACGCCAGAACGGTTGAACGGATCAGAATTAAAGTCGAGAGATAGATTATAGTCTGGTATAGTACATACAAGCAGTGGTAGCCCAGTGGTAAAGGCAGTGGTAGCCCAGTGGTAACGCGCTTGCTTGGGAAACCGAGCGAAGCGGGTTCAAATCTCGGGTCTCGCATCTCTGATATTTTCATGTGCGGATCATTTCTAACATGATTACCACTTGCCTTACGGTGAAAGAAAAACATCGTGAGGAAACCTGCATGTCTGAGAGAACCTAGCAAGTTTTCGAAAGACATGTGAAGTCCGCCAACCCGCACTTGGTCAGCGTGATGGACTATGGCCTGATCCCCCTCGTACTGAAGGGAGGCCCGTGCCCAGCTGTGGGACGTTAAAAAGGGCTGAATACATAGTACATACAACATAGGTAATTTTTCTCCCGGAAAAATGAACGGTTCCCGTTTGATAGATTTATTTTTGTCTATGGACGAAGCCGAAGCGAAGCGAGGCTAAGTCGCTAGTATATATTATATACCTTAAGAGTGGTTCGATGGCATAAAAAATAAAGATATAATTACTTTTAAAATTAATTTGTTGTCGATTATTCACTACAAGTAGACAAGTAATTTCCTTAGTGGAGCTTAGTTTGTTGCAAACAGCAAACTTATTTTATAAACAGATTATCTTCTAAGCAATTTTAAATTTCAGATGCTCTAGTTATAGCGCCCGTTCTAGAGATACCTTTGATATTCC